AGATAGCCTTGAACGAGACATTGTCGAAGGCGCCCTCTATATCTAGAAAGACACCTAGGACATATCCTTTCTTGGCTATTCTGCGCTCAATGGTGTGAGTAACTTTATGAAGTGCCGCTTCTGTGGAGCAGCCCTTCTTAAAGCCGAATTGTCGTTTGTTGATATCATTAGCTATGTTGAGGTCATGTTGCATATGCCATAAGATCACTTTCTCCTGCAACTTTAACATCACAGGCGAAAGAGTGATCGTTCGAAATGACTTAGCTTTGTTGTAGTCAGTTTTTCCAGGCTTAGGGAGAAAGATTCCAAGAGAGTCCCTCCACAAAGTTGGGATGTGTTGCGTTTCATGGTTTTTTGTCATAATGTTTTTTGTTATGTCTTTGATATGGGCCCAGGCTTTCTGGAATATGATAGGTTTTAGAGTGTCAGGTCCTGCAGCCTTCAAGGGATCGAAGGATAGGAGAGCCTTTTCGATTCTTTCAGGGCTGTACATTTTGTCTAGTAAGTCTGTGGAGATGGGTAAGGGGCAGAGAGGCGGAACTGGCGGATCAGTGACACTCTCCCTGAAGTGGGTTTGTGTCATGACCTCCAGTGTCTCCTCTGCGTTTTTGGTGAGTTCGCCATTTGGTTTATAAACGGCTTCAAGTTTGTTATTGGTGTCAGTACAGGTTTTCAGAATCTTGTTCATCCTGCCAGATTCCTTAACCGATTCAGTGTCTGCGCAGAATTTCCGCCACGCATTGCGCTGGGAGTTCGACAGGATCTTGTTGTATTGCTTATTGCTTTCTCTAAGAGCGAGCCATGAAGCATCAGTTTTGATTCGACGAGCTGTGATGAGTTTGCGTCTTATACCCCTCTGTGCTTCCTCAACTTCTCGAGTTAGCCAGGGTGGTTTTCGGACAGCGCTGGAGATGTAAGTAATGGGACATGCCTCCTCGAAGGCCGTTCGGAGAGCAGTATTGATGGTGTTAACTTTGTGATCAATGTCGTGTGGTGTGTTAACGCATGTGTTGTGGAGATCATTGTTGTTGTAAAGAATCTCGTCAAATTTCGCCCAGTCAGTGTTCTTGACTAGGCGTATTTGTCTTGGTTCTTTTTTGGGACCAGAAGTAATGTCGAACATGATATATCTGTGATCGGAGTTTGAGTAAAGATCACTAACGTGCCAGTTACTGATCAGTTCAGCCCCCTGTTGGTTGGTGATAGTGAGGTCAATGATGGAATTATGACCTCGTGAGTTAAGGAATGTTGGTGTTGAACCTTTGTTGGAGCAGGAGAGCCCTAGCGACGAGAGGAAATCAAGGAGTTCCTCCCCCCTTCTATTGCACAACCTGTTTCCCCAAAGGGTATGTTGGGAATTAGTGTCCGAGCCTATAATAAGCAGTATGTTGTTGTCAATAGCATATTTGGCTAGAGGTGTTGTTTCGTGTGATGGAGCTGGACCATTAATATCCATGTACGAAGCTGCCAGAATGACTTCTGATGAGCTAAGCTGAATTTTAATGGCTACTTGATCCGGGGTTGTGAATTGCGATAGTTCCCAGCTTTTTACAGCTAGGTTTTTGTGTATTACTATGGCGGCACGGGGTCTAATGTCCCCGGCTTTGTAGTAATACTCGGTTAGTTCTTTGCTAATAGGTGGGATAAGGTTTTTGTTATTGGTGTATGGTTCAGTCGCAAGTACAATAGGATTTTTCCTGCCGTGAGTGTTCACCAGCAGGGTTTTCCAAGCGTTGTACTTGCGTTTAAGGTTAATTTGTGTAACAGAGTAATGTTCATAATGATTTTTACCTGTTATTTTCGTAGTTTTAGCGGTGGTTTTCCGGCGCTTTGCACCTCTCTGTGTCTTATTTCGTTGTTTGTTGGTGTTCTTGTTGTTGGTGTTTGGGTGGGTAGTGTTGGTTGGATTAGTATTGGTGTTGGGGGTAGTGAGGGTTGCATTAGTATTGGTGTTGGGGACATGGCGTGCAGCATCTGCAGATACCCTCACCGGACGAGTACTAGGACTTTTTGGGTCGGGCACTGTGTCGGGGGGCCGGTCGAAGACGAATAGCAGCAACCAGCGTTTCTAGGAGAAAACTGTGTTTCTCTAAGAATGTCTCACCCGAGGGTGAGACATCCACCCAGATCCGCTGCCTCTGTTTAGACTCCGTCGACGAGCCCCCACCTTCAGGTAGCTGCACTGCTACTGTCTCCCAGGTGTTGGACACATGCCGCAGAGAGCCGCTTGGTAAACCATGCGCTGCATTCCGCAACATGAGTCCACGCACCAGTGTGTGTGGGTCTAGTCCGATGTTAGAGGGTCCCTTCCCCGATAACTGGTTAGGCACGTAGAAAGCGTAGCGGTTCCAGACGGCCTCGGAAGTGACTTCCCAACCAGCCTTTGTGAGGCAATCGGTCACCACCTCCGCTGTCGCCTGGTCCGCCACCTCTATCATCGAACCACCAGGTAAAGGTACAAGAGAAGTAATGACTAGGGTCTGAGGGACGAGAAAGAGTTGTTGGGCGATGCGATCGCTCGCATCAGTCCCCTCTCCTGTTTTGATAACGGTCAGGGTGATCACAGGATCACCCTTCTTGTATATCTCCTCAGGAGCGGGGAGCGGTTCACCCTCCTCCTCCTCCTCAGTCTCCTCATTCTCCAGTTCAGTGTCTTGTTGTTGTTGTTGTTGTTGTTGTTGTTGTAGTTGTTGTTGTTGTTGGTGATTTGTGTTCGCACTGTTACCAAGCGGTTTTTTACCTTTCTTGCCCTTACTCCCCTTACCTCTCCTCGTTTTGGACGGATGGGACCCAGACTGGGGCTGAGGTTTCGTCTGTTGGTCCTTTCCCCCTTCCTTAGCCCCCTCTTTTGGAATAGATCCATTGGAGGCAGCCTTGGACGGGGTATTGGGCTTCGAGACTTCCACCTTCAACCCCAGCTCTGGGCTGTCAACGATGGGTTCGGGCATAATGGCTAGCAGGCCTGAGTGGGTCGCGGTAGGGATGAGGTTCAGCTCAGGCAGAGGAGAGCCAGGAGTACTGTTTGCCATTCGGGCAAGATGCAGCATCGAGTTCCTGTTCTCCGCCTGCCTTGACTTTTCCGTCTCCCGTCTCGCGCCCCTCAGTTCACCGTTTGCAGTGGTCATGGTGAGTTCCTTGATGGAGGTGCGGATACTGTGGTCTGAACTGACTGATATTACACTAGTGCTATTATGTCTTGATCGTACACTAGCACCATCAGTCAGTTTTTTGCTTATTGTGACGTAGTCAGAGAGGTGCTCGCTGCCATCTAGTGCGTCCTTCTCCGATTTGGTCATACTCTCGTCATCCGACAGTCCAGCTGAAGAATTCGGAGATAGTGAACTGTTGTGTATAATAGTATGGGAGATAAGGTGCGCGTTCCCGCGCATAAATGCTGAAATGGGTGCTTTGATCGCAAAAATGTCTAATGTTTGCCGCAGATCAGAGATCTTGAGCTCAGTGGAGATTGATGACTCACCTGTGTTGGACAGATGGTCCATATCATTCTTTGCATTAGCCATGATTGTTGTACTTGCTATAATAAGTAGATGATGAATAATTCTGTAGCTAGTGTATGATATGGGTTTCAGAAATGATGCAAGGCGAGCACAACCCCGGGAGGGACAAGCACTCCCGCAACAAGACTGTGAAGCCTGTGCAAATGTGCCAATCCAACCCAAGGCCCGCTCATTCCCGCACCCACTGCTGGAAATCCTGTGTTGTAGTATGGGGGTTATAGTGAAGGATTCCTTGGTGATTGCTGAATGAGCACAGCCTCGGTAGGAACCAGCACTCTTGCAACAAGACTGTAAGGTCTGTGCAATTGCGCTAAATCCCCCCGTGGCCGGCTCAATCCAGCACTCTCCACTGGAAAGCCAGAGTTGTAGTGTAGGGGTAATAGTGGTGGATTCCTTGATGGTTGCTGAATGAGCGCAGTCTCGGTTGGGGCCAGCACACTTGCAACAAGACTGTAAGGTCTGTGCAATTGCGCTTTTCCCGCACGAGGCCGGCTCTATCCTGCTTCCTCCAATGGTAATCCGGTGTTGTAGTCCTAGTGTATTAGTGAGAGTTTTAACACTTTCTGCGAATCGTAGAAAGATGCTGAGAAATACTGCGACGACAGTGTTGAAATGCCGCCCAATAAAACAGGGAAAATGGGTGCTAATGATCGGTATTAAGGGCCCGACCTTGAAGAACACACCCTGAACTTCTGAAACCCTATATGCTCAGATGTGAGTGAAGGCTGTGAGAGCTCCAAAAGAAAAAGGGATCAAATGAGGTAAAGGAAGACGGTTGGCACGTGCGACCTATGTTCAGTTTTGCTCAGCTGAACAGTACAGCTTAGTCTCGGCTGGTCGTGTGATGCCGATTAAGCCCCCTTACCACGGCAAGGTCATTTGCTCTGGATAAAGCACCATTACCAATCACTATAGGTGAGAGAAAAAGGATAGGATTGGGTCCTGGGCAGTAACTCCAGAGCAAATGGGCAGAGTCATAAGTGGTGCTCTAGTGCTCAGGATTGACTCTGCCGCTGTACTTTAAATCAATAAGTACCAACACGTGTGACAGACGCCCCAGCCGACAAGCCCCCTGCCACGATGCATGCGATCCCGGAGCAAAGTGCCTGCACCCAGCAGCACGCCGAGCCCAGCCAACTCCGCCGGCTATCGACCCGGAAGCTGTCCCCACGAGCTACCTAGTGACTTTCGTCACTTGGGTGCTCAATGTAGACCGCTCCCGTTTCGACCACCAGCTTCATCACTCAGCCCAGCGGCCACCCAGTTTCAGCCATCCACCCCAGTCTCAGCGCACACCACGCCGAGAACCGCCCACCAGCACACCCAGACCCACATGCCAGGTATCATCGAAGCTGCCTGGTCTTTTGCCCGGAACCAAACAAAAGGGGGATTGTCTGGGCTACTTCAGCAATGTATCTGAATTTTGTTGCCAGTATTGTAAACCTTACCTTAGTATGTAGGTAATTATATGTATCATTTCAGTTATTTTTGGATGATGCTAGAATGAAAAATTTTACCTCTTGTTTCAAAGGTGAGAAATAAAACAGGAGTCAGTACTGATTCATGGCATAAAGATCATCTGTATCATGTATCAATAAAGCCCATCTTTGAAAGTTCTGCTGCGTTTATTGAATTTTGTGATGATTGTTATAAAATATGATGTTTATACATGTGAGATAACTTCACAAATCTTCAGAGAAAAAATTCCTAAAATTCTTCTTCAAAAGAGTGAAATTGAACAGCAAAGATAATCAAACAGAATGGCCTTATGTTTCCCCTTGTGGTGATGAAATGAATTACATCAGATGTGATGACCTTCCTGTTGTGTTTCAATCTATAGTTTATGGTTTAAAAATTTATGTTTTCATTCATCACTAATTGGTTCCTCAAAATCTTAAAAATTTTTCATTATTTTTACCGAAGCAGAGTTTTTGGATTGTTTAGTAGATCATATAAAGAAAAATACAGAATATGACATTTAAATGGTGACACTTGGTTTGGTAGTTGTACCTAAACCTTAATTTACACCAAAGATAGTATATAATTTGCTTTACAAAATAACTTTTCAGATGGTGATACACCACATTTAAGTTGGGGTGATGAGCTTGGTTTGCTGAAATTTCCATTAGATTTGTCATCAATTGCAATGTGCCCAAAAAGTGGTAGAGTTTATCATCCTGCGCCTTTCCGTCAAGGTAACAATAGGGTTTCTAAGCAGAATGTCAGCAAATTACTGAACATAGATTATATTATGCAGCTATTTATTTTTCAGTAACCATGTTAGTAACCACAGTTTCTTTTATTGTTGTGTTTCTGAGCACTAATATTGTAAGTTACCACACCAACAGCTGTTATCAGGTATACAGAACAGTTACCTGAGCTGAGAAATTCTAAACAGAAGTTTGTTTCAGCTGAAAGATGTCTATTTCAGGTAGCATAGGCCTGATAAAATCTAAACTCGCCATTGAACTCTCAAACGACTTGGTTTTTGAGGATAATGCAACTTTACCCTCTGGAATCATTTGGAAAGATCAGCTTTTTCCACTAAATCACAAGGTGACATTTGTTATGATATTTGTTAATTAGACTTGTTAGTTGGACTTGAAAGTTTTTGTGCTGTGAGAATATGTATATTATTCATAATTTCATACTATGTATACATAGTATGAAATTATGAATAAGAGAAAAATGTTGATTTTTAGTCGAGGGACTATCATGATATTACCCACATTCTTGAGTATATTTAGAAACACAACCAAACAACCAAATAACATTACCAAACTCTCAGATATTAGACATTCTAGACAATCGACAAAGTATGGGAAGATATTCAGAGATGACGGAATGAAAGCCTCAAACAATTGACTACTATGACAGTACAATTGTATAATGTTTGTAACATTAATTGTATAACTGTAAGAAACGTAGAATTTAAAGAGAAAGCTTATTCTGAGAGTTAAAAAGGCTGCAGTTACTGCAAAGTTTAAAGTTTTGAGAGTTTTATTACATATATATACTATAGTAAAACAAAGTATTTTAGTAAAACAAAGTATTTTATTTATTAGCAGTGCAATCAATTCATATGATATAATTATAAGAATATAATAGTATGTCACACCTATTTAACTGTTACGTTTGAGTAGTCGTGCCATGGCTAAATTTAACTAGGACCAGTGGTGTCGATTAACATTTAATAGGTGAGTCTAAGTGACACAAATGGAAAATTTTAAGAAAAGACGGATTAAAACACAGATCCAGGGACAAGGAGACCCCACTGCAGGACCATACATGCTATTGGCTTGTGCATGGCCCAAAAAGGTTCCAGTTGTCCCGGAAACTGTACGTAGCTGGTCAACTAGTTTTGAATTCAGACTAGGCTTGATGAGTTCTGGGGTTTCTAGAGCTAAGATTTGATGGTGCCAGGTTTGTTCAGGCGGACATGGAAATTATGCGATGAATATATAGGTATATAAAAATCATATCAATATAAAAATAGATCCAAAAATAGATCCAAAGATTCACACGGCAGTCAGGGAACTTCCAGACAGGATGCTTTTGAAACAGGTATAATTAGCGCTTTTGTAATTAATTGTATGCAAGGGATGGGATGCTGATCAACTAAGCTGGTTCAATGCCCCAGCTATTTAGGGGGAGCCACTCAATTTCACGCCCAGGTGTTGTCAATTGCTGGGTTTCCAGTAACAGCTTTTTGATACGGCTCTTGATAATTGAGATGGGGGAGGAAAGGTCGGAAAATTTACTAGAGCCAGGGACCATGACATTGTTTTCATTAGGAGTGCATTTGTCGAATATTTTATCAATCAAACTGTTCCATATAGTCGTATAGTGTATAGATCAGTGATATAAAGTGACCTTCATATTCACAACTTAATTTAACTCCTTTCTAAAGCCTTTTTATATAAAATTATAATATTTTGGTAACTATCAAGTCAAAATATACACATATTTTAATTATATATTATATTATAATATAACATATATTTTTGTATTATAGTTTATCGACTTATTGAATGCGTTATTGATATTATCAATTTAAAGTGAACCCTTCAAAAGAGAACTAGATGTGTTAGTAATGTATTTCCAATTTTATGTATTTCCAATTTTATGTCATACATTTATCATCTGAATGAAGTTGTGTTTAAATAACTGCTAAATATTGTTATATTATCGTAACACAGTGAAGGATAAAGGTTGTACTAATTGTTACTTATTTTACAGGATAATAGAAATAATTCACTAAATAAACTTATTTAGATTCATATGCAATGGTTAAATTGGATTTCTGTACAGACTTCACCCGTTTTCTGGAAGAGAAGAATAAGATAAACCATACAGTAAAAGTGGTGACAAAAAGTGAAGTGATAGAATGCAGTGGAGCAGTGTTATGTCAACACAGTGATATTCTACTGCAACTAGTTGCTAAGGACAGCGAACTCTTCCTAGACAACTACACTCACGTACAGGACTGTCTGCTAGTTCTTCACGGAGCTGAGGTTGCTCTTAACATGGACAATATCCTGGATCTCATGAAGTTCAGTGTTCAGTTTGGTATCAACGAGATTTACCTGCAGTGCCTGGATTGGATTGAGAACAACTTCCGTGCTCACAATGTAATAGCCATATTCAAGATATGCAACAGTCTACTGAAGTTTGCAAAACTTTGTGGAGCTGTTTTACCCAAAGATGTATTCGCTCATGTTGTAACATATCTTAAAATGGTTGGACCTGTAGCAGTCATGGAATTGTATAAGGATGATGATGGTGAAGGATCTGAAGAAATGCGTGTTGATTTCTTAAGATTTCTTACCGGACCGAGGTCACTTCTTACAACATTTGCTCCTTTGCTATCTGATGTCATTTCTGCGGATAATGTAGACACTGTAATTTCTCTACTTGCAGATAATTTATCTGGAATAACTCGACTTTCAGAGCATAGCTTTAAGACTTTGATGAAGAAAATTGATTCCACTGTGTTTCAACAGAGCGTGGCAAAAAATTACATAAATTTAAAAGCAAAACTTTTCACCATGTTTTTACAGGCAGAAGCCCCCTTTATCATCCCGGAGTTTATACCAGAAGGAACATATAGTCTCACTGATGCTATTGTAAACGATAAACTTTGGATAAAAATGGACTTTTCCCAACTTGTTAAGGCTCAAAAATTGTTTGAAAAACCATCTATGCATTTCATATACTCAGAAATCATGATCGCTTGGATTAAGTTAAGGAAGCCCTCTCAAGCTGTAGTAACTGAACTCTTCCAAGGTATTATTCCATATAAATTAGGTGCAGATTATATCACCATGTTGAATGGCAAGCACAAGGCCCTTGGATACACTGAGCCAATATTACCTAAACTCATTGAAGAATGGGAACACCCAACTCATTATATATCAGATCCTGTTTATTATTCACAATATGGAAGCGGTTTTGTGGTTCAGTTTAAGATATCTTGTAGAAACAAATGCAGCAAAAGTGATTATTTCTATGCCTGGTTCAACCAACCGGCAAATGATGTCAGGAAGCAGGAACTTCCTTGGGGCTGGTACAATTATACACCACCATCATCAGTTACTAATGACATATTGAGATGTCCTGATAACCCAGTTGGAGAAACCAGCGACGTTAAAAAGCCGATCCAGTTCTTTGGAACCACTAGAAATAACGTTCACCTTCAGTTCCATACAGACTGGTCTGACACATTAGATGAATGGCGTGCAGGGGGATATGTGATGAATATAGGGTGTGTTCAATTTAATAGTGATCAGTAAAAATATAATATATCATACAAAAAAAGGATATTTTCCAGCTATATAATATGATTGTCATGTCTGCTAAATCTCGTGGTAACATAGTTACCTTTTTATCTTTATAGCTGTATATTATATAACACTGTTTTATATAAAATAATAAATGAGAGATAATATATACATTAATTCATGTTCCGATTCATTTATTTATTTAGCATAATCTTAATTATTCATGCTGTTATACACAACTGTTTAATGAATGATTCGATCAAGGTTTTAAACAAATTATATCGCCAAATATGTTAGTATGTTCAAATTTAAATGTCATCATTGTCATGTTATGATATTCAATTATCAATCTTGGATCATTATATTGGGTTATATTCTTTCATTTTGTGAGCCAAACTAAATCGTAAGTAGTTGAGGGCGGCGATATTTAGGAGTGTCATAGTGTTGTATTATTTGTCGATTCATTTCGGATGTAAAGATTAAACCTATGCCAATTTAAAATTTAATCAATCTTTAGTTGCTGTCACCAAGCATACTGCCAGATATTTATCCACCGTATTTTAATTCTGACTATGATTAATTATTCAGGTAGTTGAAATGATGAAATGTAAAGAGTTACCATGTGACTTTAATTTCCATGTTGAAGACATATACAATAATGTTGCCCAGAACTTTATTGCTCTTTGTGAGAGCAAAGGCTTCCTTCAGCATGTCGACTCTCCTACTCACATCTCCGGCGGGACACTGGACTTGTTATTTACTCTAGGCTGTGTAAGTGACTCATTGTCTGTAACAGATATGATGGTAGAGACAAGCACTGGAACCAGCTCTGATCACTATCTAGTAAGTTTTCAGGTCCCAGTCACATTCGATCTTCATAAAGCTCGTACATATGAAGAAAAAGATGTCAGAGAGCTAAGCAAAATTGACATCGATAAGTTCAGGGAAGATCTGTTTTGTTCAGAGCTTAACCTTTCTGAATATCAATCCTTAGACGAGGCTGTGAACCTTTATCAAAATGTCCTTGAACAGGTGCTAGACAAACATGCCCCACTTATTACGAAACGATTTACTGTTGAAAAGTCTGATTTTTGGGATAATAAATGTCAAATTGCTGTCAGAGAGAGGAGAAGGGCAAAACGAAAAGCCAAAAAGTATCCAGAGAATGATGAGTTTAAAACTACTCATTTTGAAAAATGTGTTGACGCAGAAATCACTATCAATCGAGCTAGGGATGGCTACTATGATAAACAGCTCAGTTCTTGCAAAGGAGACTCGAAAGGGACCTATAAAGTCATAAATGAACTTTTAGATAAGGAATATGGCTCCAACAAATTGCCAAATGGTGAAGATATCGAAGTGGCTGCCAAACTCAAGACTTTCTTCGATCAAAAAGTAAAGACCATTTACTCTAATATTGAGAAGGAAATTCAAAACACTTCCCTAAACGGTCAAGGTACCAAGGACTCTACTTCGATAGATAATGCAAAGTGTAGACTTAATCAGTTTAAGGAAGTCTCATTATCAGACCTTGAAACCTTAATTAAGAGTCTTCCCAATAAATCAAGCGTACTCGATGTCATACCAATGTGGCTCTTCAAGAACTGCTTACCCGAGCTTCTCCCAATCATCCATTACATCGTGAATGAATCACTAAGAGTCGGAAAGTTTCCATCTGCCCTAAAAGAAGCATCTATTAGGCCTGGACTCAAGAAACCTACCTTAGATGTTGATGAGCTGAAAAACTATCGACCGATTAGCAATCTAACTTATCTGTCCAAAATACTAGAAAAAGTAGTTCATTGCCAATTAAATGAATATGCTGATGTCAACAACCTGTTTTCCCCATTATATCAATCAGGCTATAGAAAATTCCATAGTTGTGAAACTGCAGTTACCAAAATACATAATGATATTCTAATGATGATTGACAGCAAATCGAATGTTGTGCTTCTACTCTTAGATCTATCAGCTGCTTTCGACACCATAAACCATAACCTCCTTCTTACGAAACTCAAGAATGCGTATGGTATTACAGAACTAGCACTCAGCTGGTTACAATGTTACCTTAATAATCGCACATTCAAGGTTAAAGTAAAAAAAGCCACATCTTCTGAAGGCTATCTGGATATTGGTGTACCTCAAGGATCCATTTTAGGACCACTACTGTTCATATTGTATACCAGAGATCTTGAAGAAATTGTCACAAAATATGGTTTCTCGATACATTTGTATGC